TGAGTAAACTCTGAATGTTGCTAAACAGAGAGAAACCAAATTACAGGGAGATACCATAGCTATGTTATAGCCTCATAGTCAAGAGCATGGACTTTGGAATCAGACCATTTGGATTCAAGCCCATTTCTTACTACAAGGTCTGTGTGAACTCTAGATAAGTTAATTAACCGTGTTCCAGTAATCTGCAAAAAATGTTCATGATTATAGTATCAATGTGAGAGAGGTGACAAATAGATACATGTACTTGACCTGGTGTTTGACATATAGTAAACTGTGAATAAATGTTAGTTATATGTAAAGGGGGAATATAGAGAAAACAGTAATATATGATCATATTTAGATCTTTATTTTGAGCTTTAAGTTTTCTGGTCATCTCATAAATTTATGAGAATCCACATATACCTGGAGTTTCAGAATCAATTTTAAGTTCTTACAATTTATAAAATATTCAACTAGGCTTTGCTTTTTACAAAAGAGTATTGCACTCATAGATTCACAGGCAATTGACAACATGGGGAAAGATGGCAAGCACTTTTTGGAAAAATAGATAAGGAAACACAGTGAAGAAAAATTTAATAGAACTTGGTATCTAGGAAATTAAAAAGCATTGGATACCTATAGATGAATTAAAGAGATGTGCATTAATTTTCTTGAAGATCTTTTAATTATATTTGTATTATCAAATCTGATTTTTCCAGAATACTTTTGCCAGGCTTGGTGTCAAATGCCTATAAAATTTCGACAGCTCAGGAGGCTGAGGCAGGAGGATCACAGGTTCAAAGTCAGCCTCAGTAACTTAGCAAGGCCCAAATCAATTTAGCGAGACCCTGTCTCAAAATATAAAAATAAAATAATAAAATATATAAAAAGGGCTGGGTGACTCATTGGTTAATCGACCCTGGGTTCAATCCCCGTTGCCAAGAAAAAAAAGAAAGGAAGAGAGAGAATATTTTCTTAAAATCTTTTATTATGTCTCCTTAAAGGATACTTATAAAACCATTCAAGAAGAGAACAAAGTTTTTTCCTTTCTATCCCCTCTTCTTTTTAAATTTCAAGAGATTCATGATGTGGCCTGTTATATAGTACATGGTTTATTTCAAATTGATATATATCCTGACCTTAGTCTTTTTTTCTTTGTATTTTTGGAGTCTTTATAAAAGTTTTATTTTATTGAAAGTTGTAAAATTGAACAATATTATTGATAATAAAATAGGCCAAGAGATAGGGATATAGCTCATTAGTACAGCACTTGACTAGCATGTGTAAGAGCCTGGGTTCAATCTCCAGGACCCAGTTTTAATTTTAAAATAGGCCAAACACTGGAACACTGGTTATACCCAGAAAGTTTGGAACTTAATATGCCATTAAAGCGATAAAGAAAATGTTTATAGTTAATTGAAAACCTAAAATTTTATATTGGCATCTCAAATCAAAATCTGACAGTTTTTTAAAATTATTTTCTTAGTTGTAGATGGACACAGTACCTTTATTTTGTTTATTTATTTCTATGTGGTGTTGAGGATTGAATCCAGTGCCTCACACGTGTGAAGCAAGCTCTCTATCACTGAACCACAACCCCAGCCCCTGACAGTTTGTTTTTATGGTATTTGTTAGGTCACACTTGGCAAAAATTGTATATTTATTTAGGGATACATTGCATTAGGAGTTTTTAAAAATTCTAATTCAATTAAAAAAATTTTAAAAATAGTTTTCACATGTGTGAAATTTGAAATTTTTAATATTTCATTAACACTTCCAACATACCTAGTGTCTATAATTAATATTTTTTTCCAGCATATAAACCTTCAGTGGATATTAGCCTTTACCTGGTTTAAGTAAGAAAAGTGATATTACTGAGATAAGAAAATAATAAACTTCATGACTTCAAATACATCTATCTTATCTCAAACTTTTTTCTCTCTTCTTTTACAAATAATGCATACTTATTTTTACAGAATTTAAAAAATTGGTTCAGTAGTTCTGGCTCTCAAGAAGTATTAGGTTTGAATTAAAGATCTTTATCACTTAATTTACATTTTGTTTGAGACTTGTGCTGGTTTAAAATTTGTAATAAGGAAAATGGACTTAAATTTGAATTGTATTTTTATAATTGGTAGGCTTAAATAGCTATTAATATTGTAAAGGAAGCAAATAGATTATAAAACCTCAAATAAAATGTTTGTTTTTAATTTTATTTTTTTAGAATTTCTCCCTTTAGCAGATTTGAAAGGGAGGGAGAATAAGTGTAGAAGAAGGGCTTTGTAGGCTTAGTTTTTAAATCAGGGCACAGATACAAGAGATGTAAAGAAATATATGATAAGATATTTCAATAAGTGTGACCTAAGGAGCATTATAAAATTAATTTGGAAGCTTAGACTTAGCAACCACATGGGGATAGATGTATCCATACCCTAGACTGAATGATAAATCTTCTGTTTCTGTTTGGAGGATGGCCATAACTTTTGTTTTCTCCTAATAATTTTATTTGCCTTTTAAAATTCCCTGTACTGGTTGTAGCATACCTGAAATTGTTAAGCAATTAATTTGAGGTTAATTTAAATTTTATGGTATGTATTATTGAGTCAACTGTAAGCAATTTTCATGCAAAGAATATATGTATGTATACACACACACACACACACACACACATATAATATACCAGCAAATGAATACTTTGAATGCTTATTGCCTGAACAATGTATGTTATTTTTACATGAAGAACTGCCCATTTTAATACATGTTTTACTACATAATGTGGACATGGCTATTGTTGATATTTTTCTAATTAATTTATATTGCTTTCCACAAATATCAGAAGCTTTATTGTACAAATGCCACAGAAAGAAAGTTCAAAGAAAAAAATGAAATTTCAGATAAACTGTTGCTTGTCTTTTAAAAATTGTCATTAAGTTTGGTTATTCTGTTTCTCATCTTAGTTCATTTATTTCAGGAAAGAATTGACTATGCAGGTTGAATATCTCCTACACAGTATGCTTGGGACTAGAAGTATTTCACATTTTTAGCTTTTTAGGATCTTAGAATATTTGTGTATAAATGGTGGATATCTTGGGCATGGGACCAAGATTCATTTATGTCTATACCTTGTATCCTAAAGGTAATTTTATACAGTATTTTTAATATGCCTATCTTTTTACTATGACCTGTCATATTAGGTCAAGTATAGCATTTTCCATGTTGGTGCTCAAAGTTTTGGGTTTGAAGTCTTTCACATTCTTATTTTCCCAATTGAGATGCAGATAACCTTATTATCTAACAGAACACTTTAAACTTGTTTTCAAAATAAGCACATCAACATAATCTTTTGAAAAAAATATACTCAGAACAGTAATTTGAGATGTAGTATCACAAAATGGAAAGATCTAGTTATGCCTCTTTTTGTGACTTTAACCTAAAAATGATCACATGACTTCTAAGCTTTGTTTTCTTATCACTAAAGCAAGTGATTAGGACTTTTTTATAGGTGGATTGTGAGAATTAAATGAGTTAATAAATGTAAAGCTTATTTATAATGTACTGATAATAATGGTGCTCACTATCTATTCTAAGCTCCCTGAGGAACCCCTGTCTGCTTCTTCACCATTGTAGCCCTTAGGAACTAACACAATGCCTGGCAAATAATAAGGGGTTGATAAATATTTGTTTTTCCTACCTTTTTACATTGGTAAATAAGAGAAAAATTAACCATCTTTCATTTCTTATATAAAGCTTATATATTAGTTCACCATAAATTGTTTCAATTGGTCCATAAGCTTCAACTAAGCATCTCTTTTTTAAAACTTTTTTATGCTCTTATTGCATCCCTTAAAAGTTTCTCAAACTCAAATTATTCAAATTTTAAAAATGTTATTTTATACTTATTTTGGATTCTGAAGTTGTTGAAACTTTCACATCGACTTTTAAGAATATTCTGTCATTCTGAAACCTTCCCTGTGGAAGTAACTAAGTTTAGTTTTGTGTGCAACAGATGCACAGCATGGGAAAATTGCATGTCTCAATGAAATGAAAATACATCTTTCTTGAGACACGTGGGACTATAAATGATAGGTTGTTGTGTTCCTCTCTGTTGAAAAACAAAGGCTAAGTGAAAAATGTCTATTTTCTCTTTTGATTATCACTAGTAACAATTACTTAATTCATTAGTCTATATGGTCAAAAACACAAGTGGCTTTATGGATATGAGTACTAAACCTGAGATCTGATCCTGCCTTAGGTACTTCTAAGTTGTATGGTCATGAGCAAGTCATTCAGCTTCTCTTGAGAATGTGTCCTCATTAATAAAAGCAGATAAGCTTTATCTTGTAAGAACTTTGTGATCTTCAGATGACAGCTGTTAAAGTTTATGGAGCTGTGTCAGAGTGTTCTGAATGTAAAAATATAAAATATTTATAAAAAGAATTTCAATTATATTGAAATACTGTTATCAAATTATTTTAAAGTAATATGGTGGCATATGGTTCTTTTAAATAAAGAGAGTTGTTGTGAATTTAATGACTATAATTTTTGAAGAAATTATGAACATAAATGATGTTTTGAAATACCTATAGCAACTCTAATATATTTGAAAGAAATGCCAAGCATCAGTTAGGTGTTAGAGAAAGTAATGTAATTGTTTCTTCTCATGAAAGTTTAGACTCCTTGAACTCTATCATCTCCAAGTTTAAGAACCCCATGATATACTAATGCTGGTTATTTTTGTGAACAGTGTATACTTAAAGACATATCTCCATTCAGGGTGCTTAAAATATATTTTTCAAGATGATATCTTATAAATTACTTGGAATTAAGTTTTGTAAATGCCAGCTTTTAAAGTCTAAGATTTTTGATATCAAAATATTTTGTTGCCTTTACAAAGAATCTTAAGTTGGGGTACAGATCTTTAATTAAATATGCTACTTATATAACTGATTTCTATCATGAATTATTGTTTCTAGAGCTTCTCTTTAAAAGGAATTAAATTTCTTTTCTAAACTTACTACCAGGATCAGCCAAGATCTTGCTCTCATTGCTCGGGAGATCAACGATGTAGCAGGAGAGATAGATTCAGTGACTTCATCAGGCACTGCCCCTAGTACCACAGTAAGCACTGCTGCCACCACCCCTGGCTCTGCCATAGACACTAGAGAAGAGGTAGGAGATCTTCATGGAGAAATGCATAAGGTTCTTTCTTTTCTTTATTTCTTTTGCTTTTAGCTTTTTGCTTAGTTTTTTTTGTTTGTTTGTTTGTTTTCAGTTTTTTTTTTGGGGGGGGGGTGATATGTCCACCCTTCCTGTTTGCATGAAGCTCTGCATTTTCCAACTTTGCTTTAACAAATTTCTTTTATGTGTTTGTAACAAAACAGTAAAGGTTAACATTTGGTCTACTATTAAGATGGAGGTGGAAAATAATTTAGAATAAGAACTTTGCCTGCAAATTTCTGCATTTCTGCTCCGTAGCTTTACATGAAATGTGAATCTAAATGGTGTCTGAAAAGCAAACCAAAATTTGATATGATAAATGCTTGTTTTGACTGCTAGTTAATGAGTTACTATCTCTAATAGCAAAAAAAAAAAAAGATAAAAACACAACAGTTTTTACTGCTTTAAGTGATAATTATGTTAATGAATCCATACATAGTTATATACACAGGAATATTTTAAAAAACAAAGATGTATATTATGTATACATATACACACTATATATGTATGTGTATGTGGGGTATGTATGTATGTGTGTGTGTGTGTGGGTGTATGTATATGTATAGATTTTCAAAGTATTCTTATAAACTCTGAAATTTAAGTTAACGTATGTAGACTATTGCCTGTACAAAAAAAAATCAGGACCTCTGGCAACACAAACCAGAGGATATCAGTTTACACAACGTGTTCCAGAAGGTGACTTTAATTTATAAAATTAATAGTACTATTGTCTCTTGTCCCTCAGTATCAGTGGGGAATTGATTCCATGATCTTCCCTTCTTTCCCACTGTACATATCAAAATCTGTCCCTTATGTAAAATGGTATAGTGTTTTCATATAACCTATGCACATCCGTTTGTGTACTTTGATTCACTTCTTGATTAGTTATAATACCTAATACAATGTGAATGTTACATAAGTCATTGTTAAACTGGATTGTTTTCAGAGTAATGACAAGGGAAAGTCTACAAACACAGGGTTTTTGTTGTTGTTGTTTGTTTTGCTTTTTAAAGAATACTTTCAGTACTTAACTGATGAGATGCCTGGATATGTAAGGTTGACTATATTTTCTGGCCATGTTGGCTATTTTAATAGAGAGCAGAAATGCAAGCAAAGGATCAGCATTTAAAAGAATGATTTGTGTAGTTCAGGGGTTGGTAAACTATTGACAGGAAATTCCTGTTTTTATATGATTTAAAATTGAACTTTTTTATGTTTTTAAGTTGTTGAGAAATATTAAGGGAATATAATAACTAATAACTTAAAATTATATGAAATTCACCTTTCAGTTTCTGCAAAATTTTTTTCACAGTGTAGACACACTCATTTGTTTAACTATTGTGTACGGCTATTTCTGTGCTACAGTAGACTGCAAAACCTGAAATATTTATTATCTGTCTCCTTACAGAAAAATTTTGCCAACCCCCAATACTAATGACTCCACTTTTTAAATTTTATAATATAATGTTCTGAATAGTAGCCAAAAATGGCTAACCTTTTTGACGAATTTAATTCTGATAATCTGAGCTGATATTTTCTTCAGTTGCTTTTTGTTATATTTCTTTTTAGTTCTTTAATGGACACTTTTCATTTGTTTTTCCTTTATATGTTGTCTGATTTAATAAGTGATATTTCATCAATCTGTGTAGAGTTTTGTTACCACATTGATCAATTTTAAATATGAAATCATCCTTATTGGTGTAAAACAGAAAGATCTTCTTGGTGGCAAGACATACACATTTCGCTGGTACATTTATAATGATAATATTATTTTTTCAGCTTTATAACTAAATTTTACCTAACATGATTATACATTCACTCAAACTCTGTAGAATTACTCAAACATTTCATTAAATAGACTTTCATTTTTCCTTTTTGTTTTATTTCAGAATATTGTACTAGAGTTTATTTCCTCTTCAGTAAACCCAAATTAGGTAGTATTGAATGTCTGTAATTTGCACTTTAGTATATCATTGGCAGTATATTATTCTTACTAGAAGGTATAATTTCTATAGCATTGTTAAAAGTTTATCTGACTAAGATTAAAATATTTATGTGGATTTAAATTTTTTTCCTCTTGTAAATTTAATTGAAATTTGCAATTTATGTATCTTATGAAGAAATTTGTCACTTGGATTTGGGAAGGAAAAAAAACAGAAAACTAAAAGAAAAAGAAACATTATTTTATACTGGTAAGGCAATATGAGTAAAATGAACTTATTGTCCATCTACATAGCTGAGTTTTTTTCTATTTAGTATCTATTTTTCATTTGAAGAAATTTTATTCAGAGACTAATTGATTTTGGCATAGTTATATATTTTAGATTCTGAAAATAAAATCTATGTAGATGAACATCTATTTCATAAAAAATACTTTTGAAGTGCTTACTTAAAACGTAATTGGTTTATTGAAGATGACATGCTTCTGTTACTACTTGAGAATGGAATAACTTCTAATCATAAAATTTATGCAGTGTCTATGCTTTTCTAATTTATTTTGTTCTCATAAGGGTTTGCTTTTGTTCTGTTAGTTGGTTGATCGTGTTTTTGATGAAAGTCTCAACTTCCGAAAGATCCCTCCATTAGTTCATTCTAAAACACCAGAAGGAAACAATGGTCGATCTAGTGATCCGAAACCTCAAACAACAGAGCCTCCTGATCATCTAACAATTACAAGACGGAGAACCTGGAGCAGGGATGAAGTAAGTGAACTGTAGACATTGACATATGGCAGAGGAGGCAAGCCCTATAAGTGGGAAAAGGGGAAACTAATTCATAGGGCTGAGGAAAAAATGGTTATTCTGATAGAATGAAATTTCATCCCAACATCACTTTATATCCAAATAATTAACTCTAAGTGAAATAAGTTCTTGAATGGCAAAAGCAAAACTATAACACCTCTTAGTAAAAATATGGGTAAAACTATCTTTGAACATTATATAAGTGTTGATTTCTTAAAAGACACAAAAAGTTTGACTTTAAAAGATTGATAAATTTTAGTATACTAAAACTAAGGACTTTGGGGCTGGGAAGCATGAGACCCTGGGTTCAATCCCCAGCACCCCCCGCCAGAAAAATTAAGGACTTTTATGTATTTAAAGGTACTTCAAGGAACATAAGAAGACAAGTTACAAACTTGTGTAGCACATATAGTACAAAAGATGAATATACAGAATATATAAAGAATTCCTATGGATCAATAGAAAACACAAAATCAACTCAATAGAATGAATATTTTCAAAAGATTTGAACAGCCGGGCATGGTGGCACATCTCTATTTCCTCAGCAGCTCAGAAGGCTGAGGCAAGAGGATTATGAGTTCAAAGCCAGCATTTAGCAACTTAGTGAGGCCCTAAGCAACTCAACAAGACCCTGTCTCTAAAAGAAAAAAAGAAAAAGAAAAAAAAAAAAA